TCGATCAGAATTGCGGATCAAGAGTGTTGCTCAGGACTGTCGATCAGAAGTGCTTCTCAGAAGTGTCGCTCAAAAGTGTCGCTCAGAAGTGTGAAGCAAAAGGATTCCTCGGGAGTTTCGACCAGAAGCTGAGATATATGTGTGTAGAAATGTCGCTCTAATTGTTGCTCAGGAGTGCCGGTCAGGAGTGTTGCTGATGTGTGTGTGTGGGGAAATGTGGCTCAGACATGTCGCTCAAAGGTGTTTTCAGAAGTGTCGCTCAGGAGTGCTGCTCAGTGTTGCCCAGAAGTGTTGTTCAGAGGTGTCGCCAAGAAGTGTCGCTCAGAAGTGTCGCTCAAAAGCGTCGCTTACATGTGCGTGTGTGTGTGTTTGCTCGGAAGTGTTGCTCGGAAGTGTTGCTCGGAAGTGCTGATCAGAAGCATCAATCAGAAGTGTTGCTCAGAACTGTCGGTCAAAGGTGTCGGTCAGAGGTGTCGATCAGCAGTGTCAAATCAGCAGTGTTGCTCTGAAATGCGCATCAGACGTGTCGAGTACGCAAAGTACAGGTTTCCAGCTCTAGCTGGATAATCGTAACTTTGTCAAAGGAAGTTTAGAAGGAACTTCCGTGTTACGAGAACTAAATGAAAGCTAGCTCTCTGAGACAGATGACAAGAGAAGGAGTAGGCGCGCGAGAAAAGGTGCGCGCGCGTGTGGCGGGGGAATAGAAATCGTGAAACGCGGCGTTTGGTCGGAGCATGCTCGGAACGGCTTCGGACGGGTGCGGACGGGTGCGGACGCCGGGCCCATTGGCACTGCGAAGGTTTCGCAAGGCTAGAGTTGCGTGGCAGGGGAGGTACATATTTCGTGGCAGGGGCAGCATTTTCGCGAGGTCAAGTGCAGATTTCGTGGCAGGGGCAGCATTTTCGCGATGTCAAGTGCAGATTTCGTGGCAGAGGCAGCATTTTCGCAAGTTTCCAGCTCTAGCTGGAAAATCGCAATTTTGAAGCGCAAGTGCGCAAAGTACAAGCTCGGCTCGAAAATCGCGACTTTGTAGTGCATGTCTAGTACGCGAAGTATAGGTTTCCAGCCCTAGCTGGAAAATCGCAACATTTGTAGCGCAAGTCTAGCACACGGTGCAGGTTTCCAGCTCTGGCTGGAACATCGTGACTTTGCAGTACAAGTCTAGTACACGAAGTACAGGTTTCCAGCTCTAGCTGGATAATCGTAACTTTGTAGTACAAGGCTAGTACGCGAAGCACAGGCTTCCAGCTCTAGCTGGAAAATAGCAGCTTGTGTAGTACAAGTCAGGCGCGCGAAGTACCAGTTAATTTCCAGCTTTAGATGGAAAATCAACTTTGTAGCACGAGTCCAGCGCGCTCGAAATCGCAACTTTGTAGCACAAGCATACGGGATCGCAACTTTGAAGTACAAGTCCAGTGCGCGACAGCCTTCCAGCTCTAGCTAGAAAATCGCAACTTTGCAGTACAAGTCTAGCACGCGAAGCACAGTCTTCCAGCTCTAGCTGGAAAATAGCAACTTTTGTAGTACAAGTCTGGCGCGCGAAGTACCAGTTTCCAGCTCTAGATGGAAAATCGAAACTTTGTAGCACGAGTCTAGCGCGCTGGAAAACGCAACCTTGTAGCACTAGCATAGTACGCGATCGCAACTTCGAAGTACAAGTCCAGTGCGCGAAGTACAGGTTTCCATCTCTAGCTGGAGAATCGCAATGTGCAGTACAAGTCTAGTACGCGAAGCCAGGCTTCCAGCTCTAGCTGGAAAGTAGCAACTTTTGTAGCACAAGTCCAGTGCGCGAAGTACAGGTTTCCATCTCTAGCTGGAGAATCGCAACTTTGCAGTACAAGTCTAGTACGCGAAGCCCAGGCTGCAACTTTTGTAGTACAAGTCTGGCGTGCGAAGTACAGGTTTCCATCTCTAGCTGGAGAATCGCAACTTTGCAGTACAAGTCTAGTACGCGAAGCTCAGGCTTCCAGCTCTAGCTGGAAAGTAGCAACTTTTGTAGTACAAGTCTGGCGTGCGAAGTACCAGTTTCCAGCTCTAGATGGAAGATCGCAAAATTGAAGCGCAAGGAGAGTACGCAAAGTACAGGTTTTGAGCTCCAGCTCGAAAATCGCAGCTTAGTAGTACAAGTCTAGAGCGCGAAGTGCAGGTGTCCGGCTCCAGTTCGAAAATCGTAACTTTGTAGCAACATGTCGAACACGCAAGGTGCAGTTTTACAAGCTGAACAAACAGTTTGCGCAGTTGACTTGATTGTGAGCCCCATTGGCTTTTACCGAAAAATGTTCTCTCTAATTATTTTGTTTGGTTTGCCCAAAGTGATGTGCATTCGGGTTCGTCGGCTCTGTCTTGTATTGTTTTTGTAAAGACACCTACTTAGCTTCAAGAACTCTTGGTGTTTCGGAAACTCGAAAGAAGAGGAACAGCAGTAATAAAATGAGGTAATGAAAGTGACGCGTCTTCACTCAAGATCTTTATTTGCATTGGAGTCTTTCCCAGATGCAAGCCACAAGATACGAGAAAACGACACGTCAACAGTCACATCAACGCAACACCGAGCCCAGCGCCTAACCAGGGCCAGCCAGCCGGCGCCGGCGCCACTGAGGCTGCCCATTCCACATCGACCTGATGGATACGCCGATGCCGTCCTGGCCACCAATCCGCAGGCCACACCAATGCCACTCTACTGGCAACTCAGAGAGAGGCGTGCCGATTTTGGCCACATGGATCACAGGCGAACCCCTTGCGCGCGAGAGGCAAGAAATGGGGATAGTTGAAGCCTTCCATGATTGCAGTTGGCGACACTGGCCGTGTTGCACCGCCTACCGAGACTCGCTTGGGTGTGTCCCTCTTTTAGATGCTTTGTGTTTCAAGTTTCAAGGGAAGCTTGCGCGCGGAGGCCTAGGTTTGACTCCTACACGCGCAAAAACACCAACAATCTAAGGGTGGAAGTACATTCCTTGTTCATACCGGTTCCTTGGCTTCTGTGGTTTCCAGCCCACTTCATCAGGGGTATGAGGAGAGGGGAACATCAGCAGGCCTTTTGGGTTCTAGAGAAGCGCGTTGCCGAAGGCGGTTGTTTCAAGGTCAGCAGGCATGATAACTGCCCGTGCATCACCGGTGTCTTCTACGCCGATCGGGGCTGGCTCACGCTTTTCAGTGGCTTGGAAGGCATTGGATACTCACTCGCACTGTGCCAATCAAATTGTATGGTGTTTGGACCTGTCAAATAATTATCTGCTCAAAGAAGAGCAGCAATTGTCGGGTTCTGATGAGTGCTGAAGCAGTTTGAGGTCGATGAGCAGTCCGCGCCTGCTTGGCAATTCAGAGTTCTTCAAGCATTCATTGCACAGTTTCAAAGCGCAGTCATACTGCTTGACTCGTGCCTCCAAGGACGCGTCAGACGATGAGAAAGGATATTCGACATGTAAATCCAGAGTCGCTTGACTGAGCTTTTCTTTTCAAATAGTTCTGCAGCCGCTGGTAAAGCGGGCTGTGCCGCTTTGGTCTTAGGTATCAGCATTTTATCTCAAAGGAAGGAGAGCGATTGTTCTGCTTATGAGCCACAGGCCACGCAATTCATGTCTGTGCGCATGAGGCTTCTCGCTCCAGTCGGCTGGAAGGCTCGCCAAAGGCTCTGGATGCTTGGAAGAAGAACCAGCCGGAATCTGTCATTTGAGCTTCCACATTAGCCAGAACAGAAACACAATATCCAGGGTTCGGTGCCTTATTCCGTGTCAGGGACCCTCCGGAAGGACTTGAAATGGTCCGTGTCGCGTCCAGCGGGTGCTTGTGGGGAGTCGTTCAAGAACCGTCTCGGCCGTGCCGTGTCAATCGTGTCGTGCTGCGCGTCGCTGGCGCATCGCTGGGCTCTCTTCGCCACACAGGCGCCGCATAGCTGGAACTGCAAAAAGGCTGCAGGGCCCGGACAATTCGCAAAAACCACTTCCTGGAGCGCAACGTCAACTTTGCTTGGTTTGTTTTTGTGTATAGGTTTGTGGCTCGTTTTTGCGTTTGAGCGCACAATCAACTCAGAATAATATTTGCTTCGTGGTTCTGAACCAGTTGCCGCAACCTGGGCAACCACGGAACAAGTGTTGGGGGAAAAATATGGCGCAACGGGGGTTAGCGTTGCCGTCTCCGAGGGTGCTAGTGAAAGTCTGTGCGTGCGCGTTTGGGTAGGCTGTCCTTGCCCCTGGCTTGGGGGCCCACATGTCCTCTTTCTTCGGCTTTTTCTAGATAGACACGCAAAATCAACTCAGAATCGGTTTCTGGTGGTGTGTTTTTGCCTCCTGGCGCTATTAGGCGTTGCAGTGAAGATTGGCCTTGGGAGCCGGAAACGCAAAATCAACTCAGGGGTGTGTTTTTGCGTTTGGGGTCTCTGGCACTAAAAAACGGCAGGGAAGCAAAACCGTATTACTGCTCCTCATTCAGGCGTTGTGTTTCAAATGTGTTTGTGTTTGGGGTCTCTGGCGGGAGGCAAAACCGTATTACTGACCCCTCCTCACTCAGGCGTTGCGGTGAAGAGTGGGTTTCAGGGACTTGGGGGCCGGAAACGCAAAATCAACCCAGAATCGGTTTCTGGTGTGTTTTTGTGTTTGGGCGTCTCTGGCGTCTGTGGCAAACTGCCAGTGTGAAACCGGTTCTCCTTGCCCCCGTTCTGTTGTTGCGGGAACGTTGCCCACCACAATCCTTGGTAAGATTTGAATTCGCTTGAGGGTTCGGGGGGGGTTCAGCTCCCAAGACTTGAAAGACATTGGGCGTTCTGTAGGTTCTTACCCCTGCTTTGCATTTCGTTAGCCAAAAGACTGTTGTTTGGGGACCTTTGCCCACCGCAATCCATTCCGGAAGCCAAGAGCTGAAAGACATTGGGCGTTTGTTGGCATTGGCTCACACCGTCGCTTCCGGCAGGCTCTGCTCCTTGCAAGCTTTGCGCTGCGCACGGGTTCGTTTTCCGCAGGGCGGTTCGACGTTCGTGTTGAGGTTCGTGTCAAAGCGGTTCATGCGTTTCCGCCTGAACGTGTCCGAGTCGGTTCGTGTCGACCGTGTCCTTCCCAAAGTCGTGTCGACAACTTTTCGAGTCCGCGAAGTTGCGGTCGCGTGTCTGTCCCGTGCCGGGCCTAAGCTCCCTGAATATCAAGCCCGTCTTGAGCATTTTTGTAAAGACGCACCAGCTCATCCGGCGCGGCCTTTTTTTGCCACCCCAAAGATTTGACGGGGCTTGTGTTGCGCCTGTGCGCCATTGCGCAGCTTGAGCCAAGAATACCACCATGATGATCCGGAACCTGCCTGAGCAACTGACGCAGCGGGACCTGTTGGATGAGCTCAACAAGTTTGGGCTCGCGGGTCTCTACGACTTTTGTTACTTACCGCGGGACTTCAAGTCCGTGGAAAACAAAGGCCGGGTCCTCAGTTGTTCTAGATATATTAAATATGGGCCCACCAACGGATAGACAGATTGTGATTTAGTTGCCGTGAAGGGTGCGTTGGGTGAGCAAAAGCCCACAAGGAGATATAGCAGCGTTCCAGCGTTCGGATCCGAGGCTATGCCTTCGTCAACTTTGCATCGCCAGAGGCGGCCAACATGTTCCGCAACTCCTGGCATCGGCGGAGCTTTCCAGCTGATTCCGCGTTGGCCGGCCAGCAGCTTGTCATCATGAGCGCTGACGTGCAGGACAGGAACATTTTTTTTTCAGCCCATGGCATGTTTCCAGGCACTCCCCCAAAATCGCTGTCTCTTGAGTGGACCCTGGAAGGGCTTGGCGTCAAACCTGAAGAAGTGGTGCGGACCTCGCCTGCGCCGGATCCGGAACCCGGAGCTGAAACCCTATGTCTCCTCCGCAGCTCTGGAGACTGAGGAGCCGAGCCCCGACAGTCCACACGTGGCTGGCCACGTGGGGCACTTTGGCCACACATCGGAGCACGCGTCGGCTGCGAGCCACAGGGTGCCGCCCTGTCGCTCGCCAGCGAGCTCGCCAGCAGGATCTATGTCGGCATCTCCGGCGGCATCTCCGGGCTCCAAGCATGTCATGCAGGCCATGCGAGCGGGCGCCATCGTCTTGCAAAAAGCGAGGGCCATGATGCCGGCGACGGACCTGCAACCATTTGCCATGCCAAAGTGTCCACAGGAACGCAAGCCGCTCCCACACATGCTGGGTTTGATGAGCGTGGAAGCCAGAGACAGAAAAGACCTTGGGCAGAATTCAAATCATGCTTGGCCCTCAGCACATGCAAAGCGAGGAGCATGAGCGGAATGTATGGGTCAGAATCCCGGGTACCCCCAGTGAACATCCCAATCCCCACTAGAATGGACCAGAACGGGTGGTGCACCTACCCCAAAATGGTACCATTGGTTTTGACCACAGCCATGTGTTTTTTTCAACTGTGCAGTTGCAGTCCTGGCAGCCCAAACGGGCGCCGGAGTATCTTTCCCATGGATAGCTTGCCGGAGAGTTGCCAGCATTTGCTGTTGAAACTTACTGGCAAGAAGTCCACATCTCTGATACGTCAAACAGCAGCAGGCCCGACTTCTTCCCTTTGCTGAACTAGTGAGATAGAAACATAATCGAAGCCGCAGCTGCTGTGCATGCATGAATTCATAATTATGTCATAATTCGCCTTGCTTTTTTTGCATCACATGCAACGACAGTCGGACAGCAACCTTTGCCAAGGGGCAGTGCTGGCATCAGTGTGGAAATCTTCACAGCACGGTGTGCTTTGAGCCAATCCTTTGTTTGACCCCCTGGCTCAAGTGCCCTGTTCGTTAGGCCATGCATTTCAATCTAATCAGACCTGGATAGACGCAAGCTGCGAAGCATTGCTTAGCAGTCTTAAAAATCAATGATCTCAAAGAACTCTTTTGATCCAGGTGTGATTTTGAACATCGTCCCCCAAACACAATTCACTGTAAGCCTGAGGGTACACAGCAGAGTTCGCTGCGGAGGACCATTGCTTGCAAAACTGTAAACACAGCCAAAGTGGTGAAAATTGATGCACAGAACAGCAAACTCTGCCTGGCGCCGAGTTGAAAGGATCAAACATCCAGGCTCGTTTTTTGAGCCACTCAAGTGCAAGCGCTCAGGCTGCGCGAATGGCATATTGCCCATATATGTGGGTAAAGTGACAATCCTGAAGCAACGAGAACCGATCTGCACGTACCGTCACTTTCTCCGCGGTAGACCTTGACTACGGAGCAAGGAGCTCTGGTGCTGCTAGAAATCAAACCGCGATGCGTGGCTTCGGTCACCTGAGTCACAATCGAACCTGGGTAATTGGAGGGTAAGGGACAATCCAGGCCATAAATGGACAATTCTGTACATGGTTCTGAGTAGGCCATGTGAATACCGGGTCTCGGGATCGCGTATCCCGGAAGATTCCTGCGGGGGTTTTGATTGTGACTCATCTCTGGAGTGTTTACTCAACCACTGCGAAAGCATGGCTTCGGCGACCTTGGTACGGCGAAGAAGCAAAAACGCTGATGCTCTCGCGTCTTTTCACTTCAGGGAGACAGGGTTGGCTGAAACGGGCAAATCAATGCAACGGAGCGCCCACCTCAATGCTGTCAATTTAGTTGTTCGTAAGTTTTGTCAAGGTTTACCGGTGCCCAACTTTTCAGCAGCCGGAATGTTAAACCACTGCACATGCAGAATTGTGAAACATGGCAGAAGGCTTGGAGCACATGACAGGTGTTTGCAACACCAGTGTGCTTTGTGGCACCTCCTTTGATGTACCTTTGCTTGCCAAGGCGCGCTGAATTCTCGCCATTCACTGCTGATAAGATTGTTTCTATGCTTGAGACCCTGTCCTCCACGCCGTCCACTCAATTGGGACACTTGCAAGAGTAGATTGACGAACTTTGTTGCAAGACAAAAGGCAAGCGTGGAGCATCCGCTGCATTCTTTCTGCACTTGCCATTGCCAGGCCTTTGGCATTCGGCCTCGGAGTCTCCAAAGGCGTCTTGAGGTTTTCGCCTTGAGCCGTTGAGCTACTGTCTTCGCCTTTTCAGATGGGCGTCGCAGTCGCTTGGACTCAGTGAGCTGTGAGAAAAGCTCACATGGATGCAGCTTGACCATTGAGTCCATCAGCCTGAATGACATTCGTGGCAGAACACATGCCAACCGTTTGCTCTTTTAGACGTCTTGCATGTCATTGGGTTGAGAGTCCTTCTTCAGCACACCTCCGATGTGTCAGTGCAGATTTGTGATATTCGCAGCGTGGCTCACATGAAGCAAGGCAAGTAGCTGGCAGTTTCGGAGACCCTCAGGCCACCTACCAGGCCGTGCCAACGGAAAGCGCTCTTGATGCCCTTTCAAGCGACAAAAACATCCAGCAACATTTCCCGCCATCGCGGGGACTTGCTTCAGCCTGAGACGTGCACCCACCCTTTCTTCTGGCGCAAAATGCAGCTGGATCTAAGGCCATTCGAATAACTACCATGGATGCTGCTGACTTGATCGAGAAGGAGGCAGGAATCCCAACCATTTGCCGGTCAAAGCATGTGCTGGCAGCGTCCTTCTTTTTTTTGGCAGCACAAACATGTCATCAAACCACTGGGCTGCCTGTATTTGGCCCGAACCTGACTTTGAGTTTCTCACTTCGTTAGACATATGCTTTGCTTCGGAGGCTGAGTTGGCATGGAAGTCTCGACAGTACGACCTCTCAAAGCTTGTAACTTTTCTGCATTGATTCATTCACTCGTCCGAATCGGACACCCATGTCCTTGCACGAGTCAAGGCAAAGACTCGCAGCCTGGCTGCATTAAGACTCTGAGAAGTTCTTTGGCGCAAAATGGGTATGAATCAATTTTAATCAGGGACAAAGCCTTTGGCGGACATCAAGATGTGCGGATTCATGTCCACCAATCACTTTTCAGGTGGTTCCAAGTCATCCACGGCGCATCTGCGCCAGGCACACACTTTGGGCCCTTGGGCGCGCTGCCCCCGAAGGCACGAAGAGACAGCCCGCCCGCTGGAGGGTCGCTTTGTTTTTTCATCGGGGATTTGTCTGCAATAGTGGCGGCTCAAAAACATGGAATCCCCAAAATGGCACCTTGGTAAAGGGATAGATTCATTTTTTCACCTGCGGTTTGCCCCAGCTTGATTTTGAGCCACCACATTGCAGAGTCTGTCCCATTGTGACCATTCCATTGAGCCACAACCATGTGGCCGTGGGTCAAAACCAATGGTACCATTTGGGGTAGGTGCACCACCCATTTTAGTCTATTTTAGTGGTGATTGGTATGTTCACTGGGGGTACGGGGTTTTGGCCCATAGCCATGTCAGTACCACAGCTCTGGATCAGGAGCTGCCAAGTCAAGACCCAGCCCTCAAGTACGTCACAAGAGAGTGGCCAGCTTATCGAGAGAAGCCACGCGTCTGCCACCCGCTGACTCAGCTGAATCTGGGATTTCCAAATGGCTTCTCTCCGGACCGCCTTATCAGATAGGCGATAAACCCTGGTCAAAAAGCAAATGAGCCACAACTCAAAACCCAGGTAGATGAAGGTTAGTAAGGGACAATCCCAGCCATAAATAGCTGTGGATATCCGCCTTCTTGATTCTTTACATGGTTCTGGGATTACGACCATTTTTATACCGGGTTTTGATTATGAGTCAAATGACCGTGGGAGAAGCGGGAGTTAGCTTTCTAAATGATAGAGCTCGCGAGACATAGAGACCTGCAGGGGCAGCAGACCTTTGCTGCTGCCAAAGGCCGGCACGCGGCCTTGGATGAGACTTGACCTTGAAGCGTTGCTCACACGCATACATATTACATACGTATAATATAACATGTGAGCTACGAAGACTACTTCAACAGAGGGGGGTTGTTACCCTGCAAGACAACAAGGACCTACCAAAACTGACAACCCTCATTTGCGATGTTCGAGCTGGAGCTGCGGAAGTGTAGTTCGCGTACAAAGCTTGCACTATCAAGTCGTGGTTTTCGACCTGGAGCTGTGGAAGTACTTTGCATGCTGCCCTTAGGATGAAAGAGTCGCGATTTTCGAGCTGGAGCTGCAGGGTGTGCAAAAGGGTGCTTCGCGTAATAGACTTGGACTACAACCTCGCGATTTCGTTCAAGCCGCGGAAGTGTGCTCGAAAATCGCGATGCGGAGGTGTGTTTACACTTGTACTACAAAGTTTTGATTTTCAAGCGCAAGCTGCGGAAGAGTACTTCGCATTCTACGCTTGTGCTACAAGGTTGCGATTTTCGAGCTGGAGCTTCGGTAGCGTACTCAGCGTGCTTCGCTTGTACTACAAAGTTGCGATCTCGGCTGCAGAAGTGTGCTTGCCCAGAGACTTTGAGTCTGTCAGCGTGTTGCATACTGTAAGACTCTGCATCGCATGCGCCGATCTTTCGTGCACAGATGTTGTATTGGCAACTTTGCATGATAACCTGGGGCAGACGTTTGCAGCAGGGTTGGCACCTTTTTGTTGACGCATTTGTGCGTGAGTTGTCTACGCATCCTGGTTTCTGCATGAGACTTTGCGATTTGCCACTCCCAGCTGCGCGTGCAGCCTCTCACACACACACACACACGGCTACGAAACAAGTAAAGTTTTGACGAGGAGCCTCCTCAGAGGTTGCGAACAACAAGCCATAAATGGCTGTGGGTCAAATTAACCATGAGACCACAGGTCTAATCCACGTTTCCATTTGCCAGGGTGTCCATTTTTGGGTGCATATGTTTGAGCCACTGACAAATGATGTCCACCAGCCCAGCCAAGTCTTTGCGCACGGTTTTAGTTTTCTTGGAACACGGAGGTGGTGCCTGTGGCGCGCAGCGCATCCAGGCGCATGGGGTGATTAGGCAGGTTTTTTTTTCAGTTTTTGTTTCTTCTCAGTTTTTGTTTCTTGACAACCTTCTTGAGTCGTTGTTTTTTTTTGTGGCGGGGTGATTAGGGATGTTTCTTTTTTGCAACTTTCTTGAGGGTGTTCGTTTTTTTGGTAGCTGCCTGACAACAAACAAATCGTCAAGACTTCCTGGCCCTCGGGGAAGGCATCTCTGCAGGCTGACCACGCCCGCCCGCTCCAGCCGCTGCGTTTCTCTCAGCCGAGGCCAGTTGCCAGCCCCGGTGTCAGCTCCGGTAGCCTCAGCCCTGGCAGGTGCAAGTTCTTCTGCCTCCAAAGTGGGAGATGACAGGCCGGTTTCTTCAAGAGCTCGGCACTCATAGTGTGGCTCTTTTTTTTTAAAACCAGAATGGCACCTCGATAAATGGAACTCCCGCGGTTTGCCCTAGCTCGCCAATTTTGAGCCACACCCATATGTCCCATTCAGAATTCGGAGCTGTTAGGAGCCATGGCAAAGCGGAGCAGTCAGAGAGCCGCGCGGCGCATGCCCCGCACGTTGCAAAGGCCGGGCTCATCCGGGCTCCCTGGATCTGGCGTCCGAAAATAAGGCAACCCGAAAAAAGGCCTGTTTCCTTTCTTTGGACTTTCCCTAGCGACACAACCTCAAAAGCGGGTAGATTCCAAAAGGAACCCCATATGGCCATGGGGCAGAACCTATGGCGATCCCATTTTGGGGTGGAACATCCATTTGCCACCTATTTTGATGTTCACCAGGGGTTTTGATCCCATGTCGGGTCATGTAGCTGAGGCGTCGAGATACCAAAAGTTGATCCAGCTGTACGAGCGCGCATGCATGGGAGGAGACGAATCTGGAAATGCTTTTTTGTTGTCAGCTGGAAGACCTCATCCGTTAGGAGCTCCTGGCCCATGGATGTATTGAAACCTGAATGTAGCTGAGCAATTTGTACGCGTGCTGCCAAAATACTATTATAGTATATATATATATATGTATATATCTGCCAAAGGAATATTATGAACGTATATATAGTTACATATATATGTTATATATATATATGTATATATATCTGCCAAAGGAATATTATGTACATATATATAGTTATATATATATATGTTATATATATATATGTATATATATATATATATATCTGCCAAAGGAATTCTGCCAAAGGAATATTATGTACATATATGTAGTTATATATATGTATATGTTATATATATATATGTATATATATCTGCCAAAGGAATATTATGTACATATATATAGTTATATATATGTGTTATATATATATGTATATATATCTGCCAAAGGAATATTATGTACATATATATAGTTATATATATATATATGTTATATATATACATGTATATTTATCTGCCAAAGGAATATTATGTACATATATATAGTTATATATATGTTATATATATATATGTGTATATATCTGCCAAAGGAATATTATGTACATATATATATATCGTTATATATATATGTTATATATATATATGTATATATATCTGCCAAAGGAATATTATGTACATATATATAGTTATATATATATATATGTTATATATATATATGTATATATATCTGCCAAAGAAATATTATGTACATATATATAGTTATATATATATATGTTATACATATATATATGTATATATATCTGCCAAAGGAATATTATGACATATATATAGTTATATATATATGTTATATATATACATATCTGCCAAAGGAATATTATGTACGTATATATAGTTATATATATATGTTATATATATGTATATATATCTGCCAAAGGAATTTTATGTACATATATATAGTTATATATATATATGTTATATATATATATGTATATATATATATCTGCCAAAGGAATATTATGTACATATACATATATATAGTTATATATATATATGTTATATATATATATATGTATATATATCTGCCAAAGGAGTATTATGTACATATATATAGTTATATATATATATGTTATATATATATGTATATATATATATATATCTGCCAAAGGAATATTATGTACATATATATAGTTATATATATATGTTATATATATGTATATATATATATATATCTGCCAAAGGAATATTATGTACATATATATATAGTTATATATATATATATATGTTATATATATATATATATATATGTATATATATATATATCTCTGCCAAAGGAATATTATGTACATATATATATATAGTTATACATATATGTACATATTTTGAAGGTTCCCACACATAGACTGGTTTGCTGGAGAACAGCAGCACGTGCTGGAGCCAGTGCTCGAGCCCCACAGCTAAGCTGTGTGGTGAAGCCTTGAGACGAGGCGATTAGATAGCTGCACTGCGGAAATGGGTGTGGCTCAAAACCAATGGATCCCATGTTGGGGGTTTTCGGTGAACTCACCACCCATTTTAGAACCTATTTTTGTGGTTGGAATGGGATGTTCACTGGGGGTACGATTTGGATTTTGACCCATGGCCATTTGGCTGTGGCTCAAAATGAAACGATCGGAGGGGCAAACCGCAGGTTTTGGTTTCCATGTGTCCACAGACCAACCCATTTTGGAATACCGGTTGTTTGAGCCACAGCCAAATTGCTCCCAGGTTTGTACCTAACATGGATCTGATCAGCCGGCCTTGAATCTCCAAGTTCTTTGACTTCCTGTGCTAAGGGTAGGATGATTGAGCACGTGTTGCGAAGAACATTCAGTCACCGCACGCCCTTTTAGGCCGAATGACCCATGTCTTCACCGTTTCTGCTGTTTAGGGCTTGCAAGCAGCACTTTGAGAGCTCATGGCATCTCACCGGATGTTACTCTTGTACCATGACGGAAGGAGCCTTCTAAGGGTAGCTTCCCCATTCTTTCCAGGGATCCTTCATTCTAGAAAACCACCAAACAAAAACGTGGGAAACAGCTGGTTCTCGACAAGAACGAGGGTTGAAAAGAATGGGAATCACCCCCTAACATGGCAACTTTTCTGGCTGAGCGGCACGGCTTGTGACACGCCTGCATTCCTTTCGGGTGGCCCTTGCCACCATGCCATGGCCGACTGCGTTTGTCCGCAGCCGCGGTTCCAGCTGCGGAGGCCGATCAGAAAAAATCCAGGGGCACATGAGCCACAACCAAAACAGATTCGGGTAAATGAAGGCTAGCAAGGGACAATCCCAACCATAAATAGCTGCGGATATCCGCCTTCGTAATTCTTGAAGCATGGTTCTGGGTAGACTATTTTATAAGCGGGTTTTGATTAAGACTCACATGCGATGCGAGCAACCCTGGACCTGCTCAGATGGTTTGGGACCTAGCAAAACGGCTAGTAACCCTGGTTAGTAACCCACCCACAATGGTTGTAAGTCCGCTGTAACTAGGCTTACTAGCCATTTAGCTAAGTCCCAGACCATCGAAGTATTCAGGTGGCCTGCTAAACATGTTGGGCCTCTCTCGGGTTGTCACTGACCCCAGCTCACTGATCGTGTCTCACCGCTTGCCTGCTCTTGGCTATGCATTGAACCCTTCATCTTGTTTGTGGATCGCCTTTCCAGCGAAGGTGTCACACACACACACATGCATGTTGCGGATTCGCGCGCAAGGTACGGCCACGAACTGAGGCTACTCAGAGAGCACTTGCCTCAGTTGTGTTCTAACAATTCAGCAGCGCCCGACTGGCAACACTTTGCTTGAGCCACGTTCAGAAGGACTAATAGCATTATTTTTGCGTGCAAACCAATCTAAATAGTGTGGGGTTTCCGGGAATGGCCCCCTCCCAGCCACACCCATTGAAGTTTGAGAGTTTCGAGGGATATATTTCATATCAAGCAAGTCTGGCTGACCTCTCGCAGGCAGAGGAGTGGCCGCACATCGGCACGGAGGTGTGAGCATGGCTGGAATGACCGACGGCTACTTCGACTGCGTCAGGCAGCAACAGGGCCCTGGGTACAACAAAAAGGGCCTCCCAAAGACTAATCCCCCATAGAAAGAATGGATTCCCTTGTATCACAGAAGTAGGGATCAACTCCTTGATCCCACAACCCTGGGCAGCAAGGGTCAAAGCAACGCAAAGAGATGTGGGGGTTCAAAAGGTCCGTGATACACGGGGTGACCAGGGAAACCCCCAAAACAGAGTCGACTTTCACCAAATATTGGAAAAGTCTCCTGTTTGGGCCAAGAGTATTGACCAACCTGGCAAGATGTGTGCACGCTGAGGCTTTGGTAGGCTTGGGGTGAGGTTTGGTCGAGAAATGCCGAGCATGTTAAGATTTGAGCCACAATCAAAACGAGACAGTCCCAAGCAGAGTCAGGTGCGGCCGCCGTTGTATTTCTTGACATTTGTTTGGGTAGACCATTTTACCACCAGGCTTCAATTGTGAGAGCTGCGCAGGCACATTGGCCGGAGTACAGCCGTGTTGCCGGGTGTATAAAACATGTGGGGAATGACTTGTTTTTTGTTTTTCTTTTCTTTTTTTCTCGGAATGATTTGATGAGTCTTGACGTTTGTTGCTTTTTTGCCCTCTCACATGGTGCGGATTGCTTCTGGACAGCTGACTGACGTCGTGACAGGGATTGGGGCAGACCAACGTGACGCTCTTTCCGGCATGTGCTGCTGGGCGCATCGCAGAGTTGGTGCTTTGCTCTCAACAGCGGCTCCATCAGCGCGATTACGCGGCTTGGCGAGGGGTCTAGGGGTCGAGCTTGTTTCCCCCCTTTTTTCCCAGTTGGTGCCCTTCGCTGGTAGTTTTCTAGGGATATCAACAGTTTTGGGCAGGAGGGAGGGGAAGGGGAGGGAGCCCAAATAAGGCCTAGCCTAGCCTAAACAAGGCCATAAACATGTCTTAAAACTTTTCCTCCCCCTTCCCCGCCCAGCCCCCATGAAACAAGAAGACCCGCCAAATTTGGGCCCCGGTACCCTTGAGACCACCGCTCACACATGCAGCTGCTTTGTGTGTGGCTTCACCGGTTTCTCTTCCATTGTTTGTTTCTTCTGAGTTGCATTGCTTTGTTTTGGCCACAAAAAAGCAAATCTGTGTTAGGGAAGGCGAAATGCCCAACAAACATATTTTTCTGGTCGACATATGGACCAGAACTCGACGAATTCCATTTTTTGTGTCGCCAACAGGTGGGCGTCTTGCGGAACTTAGAGGCCGCCAACTCCCTGGCGCCGCTGGCCGCGGAGTGCCTGGTGGCTCGCCTCAGCGAAGTCTCAACGACGGGGTCGGCTCGGAGCCCGTTTTTTGAGCTGCTCGTTTGTCTTCGGGGAGCCAAGAAGGGGCTGGGGTTTCAAGGCTTGGGGATTGGCACTTGAGTCGCTTTGGTTTGTGAGTGGTAAATAAGGAGCTTGGTTTCTGTTTTTGGCCAATCCGCTCTGGAAGTGAGAAGGAGTCAACAGGGTCTCGGGAATACTCGTTGTCGGTCCCCCAAGCTTGCCTGCGTCGGAGTTTGTTTGCACGGCGCAGGAAAGGATCACGGAGGATGGCCAGATTTCGCAGGGTCTCCTATCACAGGAGGTGTCTTGGTGCAGAGTCGTGAGGAAGTGTTGGTAGCTGACGAAAAACTAAATGCGTTGTTGTGATGGACACGCAGCGAAATGGCCCTGGGGCAGAACCCATCGCTCCATTTCGGGGTGGACGAACATCCATTTGCCACTCATATTGATGTTCACCAGGGGTTTCCTGGGTTTTGACTCACAGCTGCAAATGTTTAGCAACCGTATCATAGAATCATTCGGGCGAACCTATTTCACTTCCTAGAGCCTAGCGCTCTCCTCACTCGTCCTTACCGTCCTGCATCCGGCGCCTGGGCAGCGAAGATGGGCTCCAAAAAGGTACGCACCAGGGCCATTCTGACGACAAGGAAAAAAAACGGATGGAAAGCACATTTCCGCGGCCAACAAAGAAGCTATGATATCATGATATTATATGGTATCATGATATTATGATATTATGATACGATGCATCAAGCAACAACTCATTAGGCATCATGATATCCGCCGACACACGCAGAGGTCCACCGGCAACCCGCTCGAGCAAACAGCGCAGCTCATGATCCGAGCCACCGTGTGACCTTATGTGGATGGCCCGGGTTTGGGTCACCGTAGCTTTCGGACGTTTTTGGGAGTTTTGACGGCAGGATTGGGGCCATGGATGCTTTTGTTGCGAAGCACAAAGCGATCCCTTTGCGCACCTGGATCGTAGACGTCACTAGACCAGCTTCAAAGATTTGCGGCGATGCTCTCCCAAGCAATAAGCCTCTCTATCCGAATGAGTTCAGCGAGATTGGGCGGCGCTCTGGATCTTGTGCCGGAATTCTGCGGCGCCTAAGCAAGTTGCTTTGTGCGCAGTATGCAGCAGCTCAGGTGCCCAGGCAAGACCTTATGTGCCACACAAATGGCTGCGTCCCCCAAAAAAATGACGCATCCGCGCCTGTGTCCCAGGAAGCAGGAGTCGACAGATTGAGCGAGTGTGGAGAGCAAGCGTCATGTTAAGCTGCTTACCCCCTCGTAGTGCCATTGCCCTGACACTAGAGAGCACTGTTTTGTGAATAGACCAGCCTGGTTTTGCTTGAATGATTTGTATGGACAGCAGCGTTTTCCGGTGACAGACACCAAAGCACCTACGCTAGCACGCAGCCTTTGCTTTTCCGAGCGTCAGACTTCACATTGGGTATGGGTCAAAATTCAACCACCAGGAATTGGACCGCAGGTTTTGGTCCTTGGTTCCATTTGCCAGGGCAAGCTATTTCGAATACCCATTTGTGACCCACAGCCACATTGGGTTCACTTAGGAGCTGTTCGACAATTTCCGCAACGTGGTGCGTACCCTCGGCTCCTTCGCAATGCTGGACTCGAGCTGGCTCGCCATCGACCAGCAAACTGCCCCGGTGCCAAAGAGACTACCCTTTTCACAGCCGGAACCGTTCGACGTTCGGAACCCGGTCCCTTTGAAAGGAACACAAACCGTCGGCCAGTTGGACAGTTCCTAAGTTCTATTTTAGCTCAACTTTTCGACGTAGAATTGCGTCGCAGGATGATGATGAGCGCGAGGAAAAGAAGGAGACCGGCTTTTTCCAGCAGCCCATGCCTGAAAGGGAATGGCTGGAGCCGTTGCCCCAGAAGCGACACGGTGCTTGGGGCTGACACCAAGCGGCATTTTGACCGCCTGCACTAAAATGTAGATTGGTCGAAAGGTCCTTGCCAGGAGTTCTGTGTTCGGTGACCATTCTCGTGCTACCTTCCCCATTCTTTCCGGGGATCCTTCTTTCTAGAAAGCCTCCGGAAACTCGTGGAAACGGCCGGTTTTCGAAGGGAACAATGGTTGGAAAGAATGGAGAATCAACCCTTAGCACCATTGGAATTCCTGTTGTTAAATCCCCCCGCGAAAGATCGGCGATGGAGTGCGCGAAGGAGACATGTTCCGCGACAGATCCGCGATGGGTTCTTGGATGTATGCCTGTGCACTTACATATTTGCAGATCCCATGCCCTTGTGGACGGAGATGTGACACACCTTCACTTGCACTTGATTCCCTGCCTTTGCTGGGAATGGTGGAAATCAAAACGTTTGCGTGCTCCAAGTTTCGCGAAAGATTCGCAAAAGACCGGCGACAGCCCGTGTCGCTTGTTGCAAGGTTCCGCACGTTGGGCCCAGGATGGGGCAGTCGTGGCAAGTTCAAGCGGCACGGGCCTGTCATTTAACGCCTGCTGCAAGCCAGGGCAAGCGCCCTGCTCGTCCGGGGTTACTGCGTTTGCAAGCGTAGCTGCAGCCAAAGTGGCTCCAGAGCGCACGCAAACAAAAGGGCGTGGTGATGGAGCCGTGAAAGGTTTCGCGCAAGACATGATTTCTCGCAAAAGTGGTGTTGCTGGAAACAGTAACATTGGCCAGCTGTCGCTTCCAGTGTCTCCGTGTCTCAGGCGCGTTCCAGGGAAAGTGGATGAGGAGGTGCTAGAGAAGCTCAGGCGGAACTCTTGGATGCCCTGAGACCCATGTCGATCCGGGAGCCATCCATTCTTCCCCATCAAAGCAAATTGGCAGCGCAACTATTTAGTGGCTGCAATGACAAAATCTGCAGCGGCTGTTTCAGGATGGTGCGGTCACATTGTGCAGCTTCTGGTTCAAGTCGCAGCCCAGTTGAAAGATGACTGGCCCTATGATTGGCCATGCGAACGGCCATACAAACGGCCATTCAAAGACAAGCCGAAGCCGTTCACCCCGGAAAGCCGGACAAGAAGATGAGGTGGGCCACTCAAACTTGCATGATTCATTATGAGGCTTGATTGGGAGCTTGTTGAGGATCATGTGCCAACATCATTATGAGTGCATTGCATGCTTGAGTGGCTCGTTTTGGTACTTTTTGCGAGCATTGGCATTGTTGCAACTAGTTGCATCCATCATCTGAGTTCGAAGGGGAATTCGTGAATTCGTCGCATCTTCAGGCCATGTGCGGATACTCCGCACGCGAGCTGATGGAAAGCTCCAAGAGTCATGTGGGGTACGCCTTCGACGACTTGATCTGCATGCCGGGCCATATCGACTTTGGGGTGCAGGAGGTGGAGCTCCTGTCGCGGTTCACCAGATCCATCCGCCTGAAGACGCCCATCGTTTCCAGCCCCATGGACACGGTCACCGAGGCCGCCATGGCCATCGCCATGGCCCTGGAGGGCGGCATGGGCATCATCCACTCCAAGATGTCCATCGCTCAGCAGGCGGAGCAGGTGGAAAGCGTGAAGAGGTTTGAGCAGGGATTCATCAGCAGCCCCCTTTGCCTGGCGCCAGCCATGACCTGCGGGGAGCTGATGAAGCTCCGCGGCAGCTGCGGCTTCTCGGGCTTTCCGGTCACCGCCGACGGCAGGCTGAAGTCGCAACTGCTGGGCCTCTCTGTTGCCCAGTGGATTCCGCCCTTTTTGCCTTTTTTGGCTAAGGAATCCCTTTGTGGAAGAGTCAGTGGTAAGGAATCCCTTTGTAAGTCTTCCCAGTGGTGCCCTTTTTGCCTTTTTGCATTCTGGTAAGGGTTTCCCTTTGAAACTCAACCAACAAACAAATAGGAGGCCCTTTTTTCATGTTGTTGTGTACTGGTTTCCCTTTGAATCTCAACCAACAACAAAAAAGGATGCCCGATTTTCCTTTTGTTTGGGTGAGGGTTTCCCTTTGAAACTCAACCAACCAAGAAAAGGATGGCCTTTTCTTCCTTTTTTTCCACATTTTTTCCCCTCAACTAACTAAAGCAGGATGCCCGTCTTTTTCCCATGGCTGGGCACCTGAGGCCTGGTCACGCGGCGCGATGTGGACTTTGTGGAGGACGAGACGAGCACCGTCGCAGCGGCGTGGCAGGAAGTCAGGAAGTGGCTGTGGTTGTCAACACCGTTTTGGGATCCCATTTTGGTTGGTAGGTGAACTCGGTTACCCCCCCAGTGAACATCCCAATCCCCACTAAAATAGAGTAAATTGGGTAGTAGGTGCACCACCCATTTTAGTCAAAATGTTGGTTGGGATTGGGATGTTCACTGGGGGTACAATTTGGGTTTTGACCCATGGCCAAGTCAGTCTAAAGTGTGAGACGGCTGCCCGAAGCCTGGCTGTGCGAACGTTTGCATGGAATGTCAAGAACCTGAACGTACCAGTTTGCAACTTGCTGAGGACATCATGACGAAAGCAGCAGACTTGGTGACAGCCAAGGAGGGGATTGGCTTAAGGCTGGGCACAGGTGCCTTTGAGGTATGAGGTACTCAAGGAGACATTGCAGCATGTTCCTATGTCTCAGGGAGGCCAATCAGATCTTGAGCGACTCCAAGAAGGGGAAGCTGCCGATCGTGAATGCTGCAGGCAGGAATGGCCACTGGACGCAACTGACTCGGTCGAGCCGATGTGTCGCTTAGGTGAGCTCGTCGCGCTGCTGGCGCGCACGGACCTGATCAAGAACCAAGACTTTCCCCACGCCTCGAAGGACCGAGGGCTTGCCAGACGTGGGGATGCCATGCTCATGCACCTCTAGGGGGGGCTACGGGCAGCCGGGGGGGGGGGGAAGGGGGCTATCTCTGGATAAGCCCAGGAGAAGCCAAGGATAAGCCCGTTACAAGGCCATTATGAAGGGTTAATAGAACGGGCTACGCCCGGGTGCCGCCGACCCTGTTTTTTTTGCGGGCAACAGTTCCCGTCCCGTTAGCCTCTGGGTTCGCAACCACGGCGCACGCAGCGCAAGGTCAAACGTATGCGGAGGGCGTCGTCATGGATATGCAGATAGGAGAGGCGGGAGACCCAATGACGGCATACATTGCGCTGACGCGACAGGCAAGGTCTGTTTTTGTATCGACCTTTCGATGCCGCTCCATACCAAAAAGGCGCCAAGCCTGGGAGAGGCTTGCTGCTGCGGACTTGGCACGGGGAAGACATCGACTGGTCGAAGCTGCGCGCCAAGTACCGGGAAGAGAGGGTCTGCACGGAATGCCGAGAGCACAAGCCAGTCGCAGCGTACACAGCAGGGCAGTGGAAGCGGACAGACCTAGACAGAGTCTGCAAGGAATGCGTGCGTGGGCACTCAGAAGCCAACCAGCCGTGGCAGTGCAATGCGTGCAAGGGCTGGAAGCAAAGGGATGCTTTTGCGGAGAAGTACGCTGCCAACCAATGCAGCTTTTATCGCGTGTGTGCCACGTGCGACCTGACGAAGTTCTGTGATGGCTGCAAAGTGCGCAAGGGGCAGGCCGAGTTTGCGGCGGATGCTTGGAAAAGGAAGCGCGGCAAGGAACGTCTGTGCAAAAGCTGTGCCTGCACCTGGAAGGGGTTTTGGACTTGTGCCGTATGTCGCGGTCGGAAAAAGATCGCGGCGTTCGCCGGGCCCGAAAACGGCAAGCAAGTGTGCGACACATGTCGCAGGAACAAGCGGAAGCAGAACAGCGTAGCGCGCGCTGCTGTGACGGTGCGGGCCTGGCGAAAGCAGGCAGCAGAGCGGCAACGCAGGCGTCTCGTTGCGGAAGTGTGGTCGGAAATTGCGCAGCAGCAGGCCGCGGCCGGCAGCAGGGAGGAGCCGTCGCGGAAGGTGCCGAGGCTGGCAGAAAGTTACACGTACAGCTGCCCAGAGTGCCACGCAAAAGTTACCAGCACATGCCGAAGCGGACGCGTGGATCAGCGCCGCAGCTGTGGACATCGGTTCCGCGTGCAGGACGGCGTCGTGGTGAACACCGATCAGCATGCAGCACGTCGCACGTACAGCTGCCCAGAGTGCGACGCAGAAGTAACCAGCACCGCCCGAAGCGGACGTGTGGATCAGCGCCGCGGCTGTGGACATCGGTTTGCCTGGACGCGCGTCGTGGTGAACACCCAGCAGCAGGCAGCACGTCACATGTACAGTTGCCCAGAGTGCGACGCAGAAGTCACCAGCACCTCCCGAAGCGGACGTGTGGATCAGCGCCGCGGCTGCGGACATCGGTTTCGCGTCCAGGACGGTGTCGTGGCAAGCACCTACCAGCATGCATGCCCGAACTGTGGCGCGCTTGTGCGGATGGGCGGATCCGAGCTACGCACAGCACACCGGCCGGGCGACAGTGTGAGCGCCGCAGCTGGGAAGTGCCGGCAGCAGCTTGAACGACCCAAAGGGAAGAAGAGCCAGGCTTGGAAGCAAGCCTGCCTACGGAAAAAGGAGCGACAAGTGAGGCTTGGAGAACGCCGGGCCGGCAGTTTCGGAACCCGTTACGAAGACTAGCAGGGGCCCAGGAGCGACAGGGCCAAACCAGCCCAGGCACGACGCAGAGGCGCGCCCCCCGCGCCCCCCGCGCCCCCTGAAACGCCCAAGCGCAGTGGCAGGGCGTGCCCAAAAGTACCAAAAATGGAGCGAAAAGGCGCGCGCGGAGGGGTTTCGGAACCCGGTACGAAGACTAGCAGGGGCCCGGGAGTGACAGGGCCAAACCCAGCCCAGGCACGGCCAGGCCGCAGCCGCGCAGAGGCGCGCCCCCCGCGCCCCCCGCACCCCCCGAAACGCCCAAGCGCAGTGGCAGGGCGTGCCCAAAAGTGCCAAAAATGGAGCGAAAAGGCGCGCGCGGAGGGTGCCGGAACGGCAGTTTCAGGAACCCGTTACAAAGAGTAGCAGGGGCTCGGGAGCGACAGGGCCAAACCCGCCCGAAGCGCAGTGGCAGGGCGTGCCCAAAAGTACAAAAAATGGAGCGAAAAGGCCCGCGCGGCGGGTGCCGGAACGGCAGTTTCGGAACCCGTTACGAAGAGTAGCAGGGGCCCGGGAGTGACAGGGCCAAACCCAGCCCAGGCACGGCCGGGCCGCAGCCGCGCAGAGGCGCGCCCCCCGCGCCCCCCGCGCGCCCAAGCGCAGTGGCAGGGCGTGCCCAAAAGGACCAAAAATGGAGCGAAAAGGCGCGCGCGGAGGGTGCCGGAACGGAAGTTAGCAAGGGCCCGGGAGTGACAGGGCCAAACCCAGCCCAGGCACGGCCGGGCCGCAGCCGCGCAGAGGCGCGCCCCCCGCGCCCCCCGCGCGGGGGCGCGGGGCGTGGCTGCGCCCGGCCGTGCCTGGGCTGGGTTTGGCCTGTCGCTCCCGGAAGACTAACAGGGGCCCGGGAGCGACAGGGCCAAACCCAGCCCAGGCACGGCCGAGCCGCAGCCACGCAGAGGAGCGCCCCCCGCGCCCCCCGCGCCCCCCAAAACGCCCAAGCGCAGTGGCAGGGCGTGCGCAAAAGTACCAAAAATGGAGCGAAAAGCGCGCGCGGAGGGTGCCACAACGGCAGTTTCGGAACCCGTTACGAAGACTAGCAAGGGCCCGGGAGCGACAGGGCTCAACCCAGCCCAGGCACGGCCAGGCCGCAGCCACGCAAAGGCGCGCCGCGCCCCCCGCGCCCCCCGAAACGCCCAAGCGCAGTGGCAGGGCGTGCCCAAAAGTACCAAAAATGGAGCGAGAAGGCGCGCGCGGAGGGTGCCGGAACGGCAGTCTTGGAACCCGTTACGGGGCCGGGAGCGACAAGGCCAAACCCAGCCCAGGCACGGCCGGGCCGCAGCCACGCCCCGCGCCCCCCGCGCCCCCCGAAACGCCCAAGCGCAGTGGCAGGGCATGCCCAAAAGCACCAAAAATGGAGCGAAAAGCGCGCGCGGAGGGTGCCGGAACGGCAGTTTCGGAACCTGTTACGAAGACTAGCAGGGGCCCAGGAGCGACAGGGCCAAACCAGCCCGGGCACGGCCGGGCCGCGGCCGCGCAAAGGGTGAAACCAACCCAGGCACGGCCGGCCGCGGCCACGCAAAGGCGCCCCCCACGCCCCCCTACACGCCCGCCGAAAAGTGCCAAAAGTGGAGCGAAAAGGGCGCGCGCGGAGGGTGCCGGACGCGCAGTTTCGGAACCCGTTAGGAAGACTAGCGACGGTGGAGCGAGAGGCGCAGGCACGCACGCGATGAGACTTTCGGCGGCCCTTCGATGAGACCTTCGGTATCCCAGGCGCCGCCCCGCCAGAGCACGCTCCTAGGCGGGGTCGGCGGATAAGGGATAGCTCGCTCCCCATAGTTCCCTTGAAAGTCCCTGATGATATTTACGCCCGTTGGTTCATTGTGCCGCTTGCTTTGGCAGGATCAGAACAGGAGTCTTCAGGTTGCTGCCGCCGTTAGTGTCCTTGCGGACGATCGGCGGGAGCGTGTGAAGGCTTTGGTGGCAGCTGGAGTGGACGCGATTGTTTTTGACAACAGGCGCCGGGTGTCTCGCAAGTTTGTTGGCCCTACTTGACTGCCATTGGGCAACGGATGTTTAGACTTGAACTTTTTGGTTGAAATCATTTGGTGTGTTTTCCACTCCCCCAAAAAGTGATGTTCACTCACTTTTGCAGGGGGGTCAACAGCAGCAACCAAGCCTAGAAAGTGAAAGCTGCTACCTGGACGGGTTGGGGGACCTTTCAAAGAGTTCAGCTTGGCCTGGCGTTTGGCTTAGCTCTCCAATGGTTGACTTGAAGGTCTAAACATGGTTGTTGTTGGGAAACATTGGAAACAATTTTGCTTATTGTGGTTTAGTGGTTGAAATCCAACCACTTAACTGCTAAAATTTGAATTTTTGCTGCCCTTCCAACGTCAACCAAGTAAAGGAGCTATGTGGGGGGTGGCTTTCTATGAGAAGCAACACATTCCCTGAAGAGCTGAGCTTAGTAAGGCACGATCCCAGCCATAAACAGCTGCGGATATCCGCCTTCTTAGTTCTTGAAGCATGGTTCTGGGTCGACCATTTTTGTACCGGGTTTTGATTGTGACTCAGCTGAAGTTAGCTTGCAAAGGCAGGGCGACAACGAAGACCAGCTGGACATCATCCGCTGGACCAAACAGGAGTATCCGAAGATGCAGGTCATTGGGGGCAACGTGGCCACTTGGCCATGGGTCATAACCTATGCCGAGCCATTTTGGGGCGAGACACCCACGTACCACCTATTTTGATGTTCACCAGGGGTACAGGGTTCTGACCCACAGCCACTTGATCGCAAGAAAAGGGTCTCCCATGCTTGCTATCCTGGTTTACTCGCTGCAATCCATGTGCCCATCCAAGGTCACGCGAAAGCAAGCGAAGAACCTGCTTGACGCCTGTTTGGAATCAAATCGCGGGCACATTCCCAATCAAGTTATGGGTACGGGTCAAAGTTAAACCACCAGGAATTGGAACGCAGGTTAAATCGTCCTTGGTTCCATTTTCCAGGGCGCTTGCCATTTTGGGGTTACCCTATTTTTGACCCGGCCTTATCAACGTCAAGTTGACGTATGGCTGTGGGTCAAAACCAATGGATCCCATTTTGGGGGGGTTTTCGGTGCACCGCCCATTTCAGGACCTATTTTAGTGCTTGGATTGAATCGGATGTTGGGGGCTAACCGATTTGGCTTTTGACCGTCTCTCAGTTCTCTCGACCGAAGCTCAGGACGCGGGCGTTGATGCTTTGCGCGTGGGCATGGGCATCAGCTCGATTTCCACGGCCCACAAAGACCGCGGCTGTGGACGAGCCCAGGCGAGCGCCGTCTACAATGTAGCTGCCCGGACTCATAGCTGGAACTGCTGTGGATGGTGGCGAAATCCGTTTCGCCACCGTTCAGAAACCCTGGTTTCTGATGTCCCTGTAAATACCAACAAACAATGGTTTCAACCATGGTTTCCAGGTGGTGCAGGATTTCGTCCATCCACAGTAGGATCAGCAGCGAGACAGCAAATCCAACCGAACCCAAGCACTTTGATTTGAATGTATTTGAGGCCAAGATTGCCCGCTTGTACGATGTGCCGGTGATTGCTGATGGCGGCATCAGCAGCCCGGGCCACATCGTGAAGGCATTATGTCTTGGAGTCTTGCCCGGATTGAGAATGACTTTTTCTGGGCACAGTGAAACTAGAGATACTCACTGCAGGAACAGATTTGCCATCTTAGGTGCTGAGACTGTGATGTGTGGCAGCTTGCTGGCTGGCACTGAAGAATCGCCAGGGGAGTATCATTACGCAGACTCTGGTACTCGCCTCAAGGCCACGCTTACGCCAAAAAGAAACCGCCGTGCGGAGGTGAGACCTACTGTGGATGGACGAAATCCATTTCGCACCACCTAAGAAACCCTGGAATGATTCGCTTCCCCTGTAAATACCAACAATGATTTCAACCATGGTTCCATTTCGTGGTGCGAACGGACCCCGCAGCCATCCACAGTAGCTCAGCGCCAGGCCTATCGCGGTATCGCCTCTTCCGGCGTCCGGGGTGCCGTGCAAGACAAAGGACACTCGGCGCAGGAAGCTGCAGCGCTGCCTAAGATGCCTGGGTTTGGCATGACAAACCCTGGGGGGGAAAAACCAACCATGCGCTTCCTTAGGGTTTTTGAGGCTGTTAGCTGGTTTTCTCTGGTTGGGAAAACCCATTTAACCCACTCAAAGTCAAACTTTTGGCGGATCTGAGGACAGCCCAGAACGCAGTGTTTTGTGGAACATGGCAGCCAAGGTTCACTGCACAAGTACATGCCCTACCTTTGCCAGTCTGTGAGACACGGGATGCAGGACATCGGGGCACGATCCGTGTCTGATCTGAACGACTGGACCTTAGCACTGCATGCTGCTGTGATTCTGAGTTGGAAATGAGCAAGTCAAGTGCAATTCGACAAACTCCTTCGCGACCACACACACTCACGTTCATCCGTGAGCGAGGTTGTGATGTGATGCGCATAGGTGTTGCCTCAGCCTTGAACAATGAAGCCAGTCCTTGAATGACCAGAGATACATCGGCAATTTCTGGAGAGTCCTCAAACCTTGATTCCCACACCGATGCACGCTTCGGAGCCAGTGGACAGCACATAGACTGTCTAATGTTTTCAGCCCCCACCCTCATTTATAAAAAAGAAGATCTAGTGCTTTGGTGACCTGGCACCCATGCAACAGAACCAGTTGGTGGTTGCCTAAATCCCCCCCGAATTTTGATGTCCACCATTTCGCGCCCCCAAGAAAAAGACATACCCATATTTACCCATGCTGCGGATGGACAAAATCCTGCACCAGCGAAGAAACCCTGGAATGATTCGCTTCCACTCTAAATACCAACAAACAATGGTTTCAACCGTGGTTTCATTTCGTTTTGCAATCTGATTTCGTCCATCCACGGTATTTTGAGGATTTTGAGGAACCACCACATATTTTCACACACATGGTTGTTTCGTAGGTTTTAGTGCACACCACTAGGCGTTGCCAACTTCCCCAAGATCGTAGCCATATGATACCCATATGCAACAAACAATGGTTTCAACCATGGAAACCCCAAGTGGTGCGAACGGATTTCGTCCATCCACAGTATGATAATATGATACCCATATGGCTATGGGTCAAAACCCCGGTTCCCCGATAAAAACACCCAGAAAGCCTTCTAAAAAGACAACAGCGGAGTAACCATCCCCACATATGATCCCCAAAAGTCCGCGGCCCATTGAGACTCTGTCTTGAGGCGAAGCTTACCACGGGGTTCTTGCGCTTCGAGCTTCGCAGCGCTGCAGCTCAGCGCCCCTCGGAAGAGAGAGCCGCCGCTTGGGCTTTAGGAACACGATCATAACAGAAAATGGGTTCTGAGCCCCCGCGCCGCTTCCTGTGTACTTCCTGTGTAATTACTTGCCAGTCGCTTTCTCATAACCTCCTGAAAGGGAAGCCTATCTGCAAACTGCCTAAACGTGGGGCAATGTTACAAAACAAGAAACAACATCTGGAAGCAGCGTGGGGCAGGGCTGTGGGAAATGGAATCCACCTTTGCGATACAAAAAGGGCCTCCGAAAGACTAACCCCCCATATAAAGAGGATTCCCAAAAGATCACAGAAGTGATTGCCCCGAGTGATCAACCACAACCCTGGCGTGGGAGCATACGGAAACTAAAACCACGAGGGGACGGCTGGATTGGATCCCCCAAATCATGGGGGCTGGGGGGCAAGGGGAGGGGGAGGGAGCCCAAATAAGCCATTGTAGTGTCATCATGCCCAATGTTTTTCCATGTGTTGCGTCCTTACCCAACAGTTCGTTGGTTTTAACAATGTGTTTCGAGATATGTGTTCCATTTGTGTTCATTAGTTTCCGTCATTTGACATAGTTGTCTGTCTAGTTCAATCTTTTGCAACCCCCAATCTTTTGCAATCCCTTCCATCGTTGTCAATCTTCTGTTCCGATTATTTGTCCGTTCTTCCCCATTTTGTTGGCTCGTGTTCAATTGTTCAATGTGTTGCCAGGATTGGGCCACCCCCTTGTTTAAGCACGCCTAAGCCAATATTCGTTTGGTGTCCCGTTAATTGCTACGTAGTGAGTAGTAAAGGCTCCCCCCTCAAACACAGTTGGGGAAAGGGTCGCAAGGAAACCCCCAGATTGTTTAGGTTTAGAATTGGCTTAGTACTCCTTGGAGCTGGCCCAGCTTTGTTTGCAACTTTTTTTTCTCCAACAGCTGAAAGCAGCGTTGTGGTTGGGAGGCTCTTTTTGTTGTATCACAGCAGATTTTCCACAGCCTTGGCTGAAAGCTTTGGGGTCTCAGCCCAGATAGGCTCCGGGGTGGTCCGGGGCGGCCCAGCATCTTTTGCAATTGTTTGTTTGTTGTGTTGTATTATTATTATTATTGTTATTATTATTATTACTATTATTATTGTGTTTTGTTCACGTGTTGTTTCTTCATGTGGCAAAACGGCCGAATGGCCGTTTGGCTCAAGTTTTCAACCCCCCGTCAGTGTAGCTCTGGTATCACGTGCGGACGCCATACAACGGCAGCCGCCCACATCACCGGGAAAAGGTCTCGGTGCTGGGGGCAGCTGGTTGTGGGAGGTATCCGGTGGTGCGGCAGGGTTTGCTGGGCTTGGTTGAGTACTTATACTTCTTCAACTTGATTCCCAACTTCCCCAAACTTCTCTTTACTAACCGTCACTTCCTCAACCCGGTCATCATCCACAGCTTCACCCGAGTTGTGATTCCGGGTGCTTTGGGTACATTGTGATCTTCTTTGTACTCATTTGCTTCCCTGGGCTACTTCGTGTTCGCCCAAAACCGCAGGTTATCAGCCGTACCAGCTAGAAGCTGGGGCTGGTGATCCGGTTGCGGGACGTGACCCGCTACCTGCTCCCATCGCCTACTTGTACGAGCAATGGCGTCCCCCGGAGCTTCGCATCGTGGGCCGGGCTTCGTGGACGACGAGGCCAACGCCCTTCGCGGCAACGCCGCGCCTGCTGCCCCCGGCTTAGACAGCCGGCTGTGGCCCATTCCCCCGATGGTGGGCGCAGAGCCCAATCCCGGGGTGATCACGGACGATTGGATCCTTTCTCAGGTCGTGTTTGATGAGGATGCGGAGGCCCCTATCCCGGCGGCAGTGCTTCAGATCGAGGACGGACCTCTAGAAGAGGCTGAGGTTCCTCCAAATCAGGTGCCCTCATCGATTTCGCCCACTGTCCCGTTCGTGGCGCTCCAGATCGAGGACCGGGCTGTCCATCGTGCTGCTCATCCGGAGCCGACTCAATCATGGTCCCTTACATGGGATCAGTTTGACCAGCTCCTCGGCAGTGGATCGCAGGCTACACCGCCTGATTTCGGTCGGCTCGACTTTAACTCGGGTGCCCCCATATCGGTTGGGAATCTGGATTTTCAATCCCTTTTTGATGCTGATTGGAGGTCTCAGCCTTCCCGAATTGACAGATCTTTTGATGCCCTGCCTACGCATGAGCCTACTCAGGGTTTTCCTCATGATGGAGAAAATGACCCCATTGAAGACTTCTCTCCTTCTCATGTTGCAGGTTCGGCCCAACCCGAGGTTGGCAAACGGGCGATTGAGGATTGGCCGCAAATAGCTGGCCTTCCTCCCGTCTCAGGTTCATCCGACATTGACATCATTCACGATCACCCCAGTCCGGCGGATATGGACTTCATCCCTGATGCAGTATCATCTCACCTGTCAGCCGCTACAACGCTGGCCCGAATCCACCGCTTTCCTCAGGTACCCGAGGTCGGGATGCGAACCGCTACAACGCGGGCTCAAATCCGCCAAATCGGGCATCAGGTAATAATCGATCGGACGCGGGCCGCGAAACAGCAGGCCCGAATCCTTCCTCCACTTCGTCAAGAAGCCATGCCGGTCTCTTCGCGGCGTTCAATCGGCGTCAGACTCGAAAAGAGTCCGTCCCCGACGTCATCGACCTCGAGGAGCAGTCCAGCCACCGTACCAGCGATGGATCCGAGCAGGATACACCTGGTATTGGCTCTACTCCCTTCGACCTCCTCGACATCCCCTTCCATCAGCCACCCAGGAGAGGAAATGAAGATGATGAAACCATCCCTGGGATCCTTGATGTAATCGATGAGGCCGAGGTCACACCAGAGCCATAAGAATCGAATAAGATAAATATTTATTTTTATTTAAAATTTAAAGAAATATATAAAAGTTATTAATATATAAAATTTCAAGAATTATTCAAAACTTGGTTTGTAGAATTATACAAAACATTTTATAGAATTATATAAACAATTTAAATAATTATACAAACAGTTTAGATAATTCTATAAACAATTTAAATCATTATAGAAATGGGTTTGTGTAGTTATTGCATTTGTCTCTTCTTCTTTAAGCACGTGTGAAGTATGATTGCACTCAGTGTTTTCTACGCCTGATCACCCGCTTGATTCATGTAGTTCCTGGAGGGTGTACTTTGGCCCAAGCAAGATGGAGGGCTAGCCGGTACTTGCGCAGCGCTTTGTCTGCGCAAGTTAAAGCGGAGCAGCCGCTGGCCGAGGCGGCCGCTAGAGTCTTTATTCGGCCCATCAGGTCTTCTTGAACCATGCAAGATGTCCATACTGGATTGATCTGATTAGATCTTTGAGCTATGTGCAGTAAGTCATGCCATTTTTTGGTCACTAGAAAAAGTTCTTCGCCTCGTGCCTGGCAGCGTTCTCGCAAGTCCTGGGCAGGCAATGCGTGAGGTTGATTCTTGCCCCAAGGTGCAGCAACCGTGCCCGCCTGATAGAGTCGTAGAAGCTCTTTGGTGGCGCGTAGAAAGTTTTCGTAGACTGGCTGAGGCAAACGAAGATCTTCGGCATGGTCTTGGAGACACTGGTCCATCTGCAGCGATCGTTCGAGACACATTTTCAACTGCAAGTCCTCACGAGAGCTGCCGGCATGGATGCTCCAAAGTTGAAGTAGCGGCTGGGTGCATGCTCGAATGTCTACGGCTCGTCCTTTGAGCTTAGGCGCAAGCTCCTTGCGTTGCCACGAACTTGGCTGGAGGTGCCGGAGGAAACGGCCAGTCTCAGGCCAAGACTTACCTGAGTTTGCCAAGCACGCTTGCAGAGCTGGCCAGCCTTTTCTCCGTAGCAAAAGCTCAAGGGTCGATCCCAGCAGGTATTGGTCCGTCCCTAGGTGCTTTGTGGGCATGAGGTCTGGCTGCACTGCCAGCCCGCTCAGTCCGGGCACTTCTGAGAACAAGGGGCTGCGCTTGGCAGCAAAGCGAGCCTGCCACTCGTCGGCTGTGAACAGACGCGGAAATGGCCGGCAGAGCAGCTTGCTGCGATGCACTCCGCAGAGCTGGCGCGGCTCCAGGGAGTTGTGCGCGGGCAGCCCCAGCCAGCTAGGGTGGAAAGCCAAGTCGGCCTGAATGCAAATCAAGATGCCGCAGTGCCCGTCAGCTAGAGGCTGTCCGGCTCGGGGGTCGTGCAGTGGCTGGCCCTTTGAATTCGTGGACGGCCACACTCCAGACTGCAACGCGCGCAGGGACCACGCGAGCCTTCTCCAGAAGGCGGCTGGTGTGTGGCAGGCATTTGCTTTGCTGACAAGGTGTCCCCAGATTAAGGCACTGACGAAATTGCCAAGCTTGGCCGATTTTTTGCCTATCAAGCTCCTCCAACTTACGACCAATAAGCTGCGGGAATGCGCAGTGCCAGTGGCTATCACCGGCACTTCGTCGCCGTGTAAAGCTAGCGGAACACAGAGACTCCGATCCTCGCGTTGCCAGATGGGATGTCCTTGGAGCTGACAAGCATCGGCCATTGTGGCCCAAAAGTCTGCTAGGTCCACGCCGACGGGTGCCAAGGACTGCCACCCCTCTTTGTAGCAGTGATACATTGCGCTGAACATTTCATGAGGCCATAGAACCGACACATCGCAGGGACCGGCAAGAGGACTGCCTGGGCGACAACGACAACGGCCATGCATATACTCAGCGCGCATGGCCATGCCACGCAAATATTGTCTTCTAGAAAAAAGGGGGGAAGCGGCCGGGGTGCTGGCACTTGCCTTCAGTGGCACCGTCATGATGCTGATTTCAGGCAAGTAGTTGGCACACAGACGCGAGCACAGGTCTCGCCACAAGTTCCCAGGGTGACGACCGTGAGATCCGAGACTGGCGAGAACTTGCAGGTCCCAGGGCGCGGCCCCATCAACAAAATCGGCGCAGGCAGCTTGCCTTAGTGACCGGGAACTCACGCAAACATGTGGACATGCGCAGCAGGAGTCATATGAAGCACATGATATTCATTCTGGCCACGATATGGCTT